AGATGTTGGTTTAACGGTCATTTTTTTTGCTACATAGCATTGGATAGTTTTTTTCCAGGGTGATTAGATACAACAAAATGCTCTACAATGTCATTAGTTTTAGCATTATGATAATTACAAATTTAATATGCTGCAGCTACTCATAGATTATATCAAACTTTTTGCTCTAGGAGTCAGTGATGTACTATAAAACATTGTTGGTTTTTCAAGCAATTTTTTCTAATCAATTCAAACACTTTCTTAATAAATGATAATAAGTATAATACAAGTGTAAACCAAGTAAATAAACTCATTATAATTAGGGGTCATTGCATAATTATGTAACGCTAAAAATGGCAATTTTTACCCACCCACCCTGTTACATTTGGTCACATTTCCCTAGACCCACCCACTTCCCCTAGCGTGACGTCATTTTCTTTTTTTCACAAAATGGGGGGGGGATTGTTTTTTAAAAAAATGAATTTAAATTGTTCATATTTAGCTGTATGTATTAACTTCTATTATCAAATGCATTTTTTTACCCTCTAGTAGTGTTACACTGTAAGAAATTGTAAAAAACTGTAAAAAACTGTAAAAAAAACTTTATTGAAAATGTTTTGAATTGAAAAAAAACTCTAAAAGAATCAGGTGAATAACTTTGGAACATAAAGAAATATAAACAAATGAAACTATATGATTTAAAATTTTTTTCCTATCACTTTAATTAAATGCTTATAATAAAAGAGTCTGTTTAAATTATTTACAAAATTTTAACCAAGTAAAATTGCTTAAAAAATTGGTTCTTCCAAATCAGTCATCAATGGAGAATTACCATGTTCCAAAGATAAAACTAAAAAAGATCCAAACAGTACAAATTGCGGTTTTTGGTTCACACAAGTGGGTGAGCAGACGTGTTTTTCTGAACTTTAGCCAATATCTGCAAATTCGACCACTTCTCTAACTAATATTTGCTATTCATTTTTTGTCTGCAACAAATGCAATAATGATTTTTCTTTAACAGCTACAACAGTCGGAAAATTCGAGCCATAAACTTTTGAAATTGTCTCTTTTCCAAATCTGCAAAGGAGACTGATAGACAATACAAATCAAATGGGTATGGCTGTCTGAGTTTGACTTGATTCGTAACATCTGGGTGAATATCTTGAAACAGCAGAACCATGGACAGATGGCAAAAATGAAGATTTATTGGTATAAGAATCTTTAGAGGCAATGCATTAATGCCAAACTCATTGTGTAGATATGGTAAAAGATATGGTAAAAACCTGTTTGATAAAATTTCTTGAAATTGAGAAAAGCGAAATGGTTTGCAGCAAAATACATCTGTGCAATTGACCACTTGAATTATGTACTTTGAACTCATTATGTGCTATGACCACCAAAATTGGTTTAAAACTTCTTCTTTAGAAACTTGTAGTGTGGCATTGCCTTCTGGCATTGGAATAGCCATCGCATACACTAGATATTTGTTGATCACTGTTTTACCCCATATTGATGCTAAAACATTCATAGCATGAAAGAAACTTTTTTTTTCCAATTCTTCATTGATTATTTTTCCATTGACACCAATATGTGAAACAAAATGTTTGTGATAAAGAACCAATCCACAAATGTCATGCGAAAGAGGAGCCATTCAGCGTTCACATGGATTATATGCACTGTAGCCTCTTGGAGCAATAACAACTATATACATGTCAAGATCATATTCCAGGAAGACATTAATCATCTCTTCAATAACTTTTGGATACCTTGCATTCTCATCTGGTCCTCCATCTGACTGTGACACCCAAAATAGTTTAAATTTTTTGGATGGTGTTTTGACAAAACTAATAAATCGTTCATCATTAATTACGTGGCATATGACTGTGCCATGAAGGTAGGCATTTGATGAATCATGCTTTCCAGAAAGGATTGCTATATATGTTGGCCCAGAATTCTTTATTCTGATCACCTTGTTGCCAACAATCTCATTGATAGTTAAGAAAACGTAAACTGAAGGTAATAATTTATGTTTCTTGGCTACAACCCAATCATAGTCTGGCAATATTACTTGGTAATCTGTACTCATCATAATTGGCTGTTCCTTATCTGCTGCAGCAACTCCAAGAGCAACTCTAGCTTTATCATCAGGCGAAAATAGCATTGTGGTTTGTGGACCAATAAGTGTACATAGCTCCATAACAAGCCTGATAGCTGCCAAACCAAACTGGGCATCCACATTTTTCTTTCAAGCATTAAATTAAGCTTTAACAAGTTTCACTGGGACCATTTGCACATGTCTTTTGTCTTTATTTGTATTCCAACAATGTGGTATGAGACATCTGTATACAGCAGTTCTTTTAATAGTGAAATCTTTTTCATTGAGCATTTTTGTCAGATCATCTAAAGTTTTCGGACATTTCAATAACTCAGATCAACATCAAGGATCAGAGCTTCATTAAAACAAACAAGTTCCCAAATCTCATTAAGAAGATCTGGATAGTTTTATTCCTTTCTGGGACGCCCTGATTTTCCAAGTAGTTTTTCACCTGCAGCTTCAGATGAATTTTTGTATTTTTCTTTTTTTTTTCAGGCAAAATTTTGGGGCTTGACAATGGTTAAATTGAAGAATTTGAATAGCTTGTTGAATTTTCTTTTTTCTAGTCATCAAGTTCTTCAATTCTTTTCCTACAGCTTCTGAATCACCTAAACCTTTCTGTTGCATCAATACAAGGTGGTGATTTTCAATTCGTGGGTTACTAAAGTATGGGTAACTTTTTTGTTCATTAATGTAGACAATAACGATTCACCAGCAGATGATTCAACAGACACAGATCAAACCTGCTGCAATATTTTCTTTGCTGGAATGTTTTTTCAATAGCTCAGATTTTTTGCTTTTTGTTTTGCTACAACCATTTTACACTCTTTTAATTTTGTTTGACATGAAGATGGTTCCAATTTTAATTTGTTCCATAAAGTCTACACCTCTTTCAGTTGGTCATGCTTCGATTTTTTCGAATATGCAAGAACATAAGTGTTCACTAGATCTTGATAAAGATCTGGCATATTATTTAATTTATTTTCTTGAACATGTCTATGGACATTAAATAATTAAAAATTGCTAATTTTTGGCAAGAAATACAAAAATGAATTATATTACATTATGTATCTTTACAAACTGGAATGATAGTTTCTACCAAACTACAAGCCTCAAAAATTAACATTATAAACACATTAACAATTACAGATTTAACCATATTTATATAACCTTATAAACATGTAAACACATTTGTTTTATTATTAAAAACTATTTTATAATATAATAACACTAAAAACCATAAAATTTACAAAACAATTACAGTTACTTTTTGGCAAGAAAGTTATTTTACTAAGAATTCAATAAATATTTCCAAATTTTTCACCTACATATTATGTCAATATAAAACAAAGTTAAAACGAACTATCTACAAAAGACAACAGTTTAAATGAGCATTTAATTTCTGCACGCAATCAAATGGAATTTTATTCGATTTATTTTTTCTTTCTTTTGAGAATCTGAAGTTTAAGATGAAACCTTTATCTAAACGAAACTTTTAACTATACGATAAATGATCATGGTGTTTGATTTTTAATATTATGCGGATATACAACAAAACATATTTATTATATTTTACTATGAAGAAAAAAGTTTATTATATTTTACTATGAATAAATTATTCAAAAATAATTATAGTAAAAAAATGTCATTCAATTATAGAAAATGCTACAATGCATTGCTCTGTGACGTCAAGTGGCTTGTGATTGTTGCAGTCATTGACTGCAGTCAGTATTTTTTTGGTCTAAGCGGTCTATTATAAAATGCAAATAGCGTGACAAAACTTGTCTCAACTCACCCACCCATGTCATATTTTGTCACGCTTTTAAGAAACCCACCCACCCACTCTCCAGCGTGAAGTAATTATGTAATGGCCCCTTACTGTAAAAAAAGAATTAGATTGCTTTGTATAAAAAACTGCAGAAATTGTACTTTTAAATTAGTAATGTTAAATAATAAAATTTAGTAAAATTACTTTCAGAAATGATTTTAATAGTTAAACTCTATTAGATGTTTGGCTTTTAAATCAAAAAGTGTTCAAACATGAAAAACCACATAAAAATTCAATAAAAAGCAAGTAAATAAATTAAATAAACACAGTTTATTATAACTTTTCTTCCTACTTAAAGATTACTATCAAGTAACATGTTATAAACATTAACAGTTATCTGAAATCAAAAAAATATATATTCTTTGTACCAATTACTGATTAAATTAGTTATTAAATTACAAACTTTTACTAATTACTGAAAGCATTATTATATTTCATTGTTACATTGCATTCTTATCATTCAGATGATTTTATTTGTTGTTAAGTGGAAACTTTAGAAATGAGAATCAGTTATATATATATATATATATATATATATATATATATATATATATATATATATATATATATATATATATATATATATATATATATATATATATATATATATATATATATATATATATATATATATATATATATATATATATATATATATATATATATATATATATATATATATATATATATATATATATATATATATATATATATATATATATATATGTATATATATATATATACATATATATATATATATATATATAGACATATATACATATATATATACATATATATATATATATATATATATATATATATATATATATATATATATATATATATATATATATTTATATATATATATATATATATATATATATATATATATATATATATATGTATATATATATGTATATATATATGTATATATGTATATATATATATTTAGCAAAATCAACATGATATAGTGATGTGATCAGTTAAAAAGACTTATATGTAAGTGAGGAACACAAGTAGAGTGAAGACCTACTGAGACCCATTTTTCAAAGGCTTTGATTGCTTATAAATCAAATAAACATTTGGTTAACAACTTACAGTAGTTTCATAAGAGGACAAATTTGAAAAATTTATGAAGTCTTCATTAAAAATTATTTCTCCATTTGTGATTCCAAGAGTTTGAAATAGGTTTGTAGCTGTACTGAAGATTAAAAAAAGTTAAACAGTTTATAAAAAAACAGATTTGATGTAAATAAAAACCAAACAAAAAAGTATTTAAAAAGAACAAAAAACAAATTTAAAAACAATTAAAATTTAATTAAATAAAAAATAGTTTTTAAAAAAGAATAAAAATATTCAAAAGAAAAAAATTATCTATCTGAATGTAAAAAATATAATTACATCTCATGCGCATCCATGTAAAGATTTTGAAGTTTAAAATTCCCACAACAAAATACATAGATTTTCTACTTAAAAATAAAATTTTAAACCATTTATATATATATATATATATATATATATATATATATATATATATATATATATATATATATATATATATATATATATATATATATATATATATATATATATATATATATATATATATATATATATATATATGTATGTATATATTTATTTATTTATATTTGCATAGTAGTTAAAAGAATCTTTTATGGTAACAAATTTATTTTTCAATGCTTTTTTTGAACATTTAAACAATTACTAACAATTCAATTTAACATTGCTTAAAAGTTAAAACAATTAAATAAATGCGGAAGTAGAATGAGTTTTATCATTTTTTTTAAAAAAAAATTATGAACAGAAAGTTTTTTAAATTAATGATGCTTTTTTTGTGTGTGTTTTGAATCATTTTATACTGTTTTTAAATATTTACTTTTTGTTTATTTATCTATTAACTTGAGTGTATAAACATCAACTAACTAGATAGTCAGCTGACTAAATAATTAACTGAATAAATCATGCATCGACTGACAAATAGGTAGAACATACGAGGAGTGTGCATACATCTGACAAATAGTACTACCTATTTGAGGAATGCTGCTACATTACAAATAGGTAGAGTATTAGTCATGGACAGGAAAGGTGAACAATCGCGCTTGATATCTTTTTTTTTTCTGAAAGTTTGACCGTGGCTTTTTAATGCTTCAAAAATCTGCTGAAAAAACCCAACAAAATAAAGGAAATTTTAAACAAGCTTAAACTATAAAATACGGAAAGAAATCTTAATAAAGGAGTAATTAAAAAAAAATAATTAAAAACTGTAGCTCTAAAAAAAAAAAGTCAACTAATATAAAAAGGCAATATTAAAACTTAAGTAAAAAACTTTTTAATTATGTTTACCGTAAGGTTGAATAACAATGATCTTTTCTAACATTTTATTAATATAAGGCAAACTTGTTTAAATAGAAAATTAATCATAAAATTAAATCATTCATAAAATCGTATTCAAACATGATCATAAAATGCAAAATAATTAAATTAAATTTTTTACAATAATCTTTATTATAATTCATTAAATTTGTTACTATATTTAAAAGTGTTAAAATTTTTATTTATTTATAGTATCTATTCTATTGCGTGGTTGTTATAATGTATTTTTGCTTTAATTGATATTTTATTTTAGACTTGCTTTACTCCTGGCAACTAGATTGACTACATTCTAATCATCAACAAATATTGCTGCTATTTGATTCTTTATGTGTTACAAAATATACATATAAAGCATTGATGTTAATTAACTTCAAGTTCAGGCCTATTCATAAAGTAGTCTACTAAATAATTTCTTTTGTTGTTATTGCCAATACAGACCATATCTTAAAAGTTTTTTTAATGTTGATAACTCTAATACAAAAATATCTTTTCATGATCTATATAATCTAAAAAACTTTAATTTACTTTTTTTCTTGCTCTTCACAATACTGACTTCCCATGACAATATGCCATGAATTAAAATGAGAAAAAAATGAACTGAAATTGAAATAAATATAAAATAATATTTATACATTAATGTAAAAAAAAACCTATAAAAATTGGTTGATATCTTGAACATATTCCATCTTTTTAGCGATTGCAAGATTATTAAATACATAAGGTTAAAAACCAAAAAGTAAGAATTAAGCAACACTCTCTGATTGCTTGGAGGGGGCATTTAAGCTTGAAAAGGATCTCACTTTTGCTAGAGCATGGGACTCACAGTGGCTGGTGAACTTTAATTCATATAAAGTTCAATTTTTTTCAGCCAACCATTATCGCAATAAATTAGATCTTCCTATATTTATGAACAGTAATGCACTCAATGAGTCATCTACCCTTCATCTTCTGGGATAAATTTACTTCTGATCTTTCTTGGAAACCATATAATAAATCTGTTGTAAAATTAGCATCCGATAAGATTGCATCTCTTTACTGAGTGCAATACTCTCTTACTCCAGATTCTATTCTCTTTCTCTATAAATCTCAAATCTGGCCATGTATGGAATACTGTTGCCATATCTGGGGCGGATCTTCTAATAATGCCCTTTCTCTTTTAAACAAGGTGAAAAAACGCAATGTAAACATAGTTGGACCTGCTTTTGCAGCCAACCTCTAACCATTATTACATCATCGTAATACTGCTTCTCTTTCTCTTTTCTAAAGATTCCATAATGGGCACTAATTTAAAGAGCTAGCGTCTCTTTTATCTACTAAAATTCATTCTCGTGTTTCTCGTCATTCAATTAAGTCTCATCCTTTTTCTGTGACTATTCCTAAGTGCTCCAAAAACTTTTATTCGTCTGGTTTTTTTCCTCGAACATCAGTTCTTTGGAGTTTGCTTCCTTTATCTTGCTTTCCTGATTCATATAACTTGCAATCTTATAAGTCATCGGTCAATTGTTATCTTGCTCTACAATCTTCATTTTTTCTCTTCCAGTAACTTCCTACTCTAATAGTAGTTGCTTGCAGCAGTGTTGGAAGCAAAGATGTTAAAAAAATAATAAATATTATTTTATTAAAAAAAAAATATTTCATGACAAATTAAACATTTTACTTTTTATAAAACAATAAAATATGCAAAATGCATTTTTATGTATAAATATATTTGATTAATATTCATGTACTTACATATCTTTACATAAAATCATTTTATGCATTTCTTTGTCATCTTTATTTGTTATGTTTTAATCATTGTAAAAGCTTAAAGATAACAACTTATTTTGCAGGTTATGCAAAATAAGTTGTTATTATTAGTGTAAATTTTGTATCATGGTTATTTATTTATCTTTTATAAGTTACATACTTTCTTATTTTAGCTAGATAATAAGTAAGCTAGTTGTACAAGAAAAAAATTCAATGGTAAAAACTTTTGACAATTCTATAATTGCAGAAATTGTTGTGTAACGTGTTTAAGTGTTTACAAGTGTGCATCCTTATTAACTTTTCAATTAGACACAGTTAAAGCCTGTGTTTTCAAAATTTATAAAAAAACTTAAAAATACAGTCTACACCAGCCGCCAAAATGTATTCAGGGGCTATTCTAGACCATTTTCAACTGCGTCAACTGTTTTTGGGCACCTCCCAAATTAAAATTTGAGAAACTTTTTTTTTTTTAACGTTTTTATGGCAAATATTGTTTTTTTCGTTGATTTACAGCTAAAGTTTGCCAAAATGAGGGGGTACTGCCGCCCAAATTTCCTAGAATAGGCCCTGGTATTAGAATTGAAAAAGTTTTAAATTGTTAGGACTTCTTTAAGAAAAAAAAGATGAGTTTTGCAATAAAACTACACCAAAATCAGTATACAATTTAATTCTAAAGATCAGTATATAGTTAATATTATGTAAATAACCCAAACTTTCAGATAAAACCAAGCACATCAACTTCAAGTGCAATTTTCTTACTCGTTTCTGAGCTTCCATTATCAATGCTACTTTTCTTTGATATATAAAATTATATATCAAAGAAAACTCAGAAATTAGCCATGATTGTTTTACTATCTGATGGCAAGCTCCTGGGTAAGGCTAAAACTGTTTCTACAGCAAAAATTGAAGAAAAATATATTGAAAAAAGTGATGGCACAAATATTAGAGCAGACAAGTGGCGTTAGTGGTCTCTAATATAAATATACTAATAAAAATAAACTAAAGTATTTAAGCAGGTTATATATTTAGCTGATTATATTCAACATAATTCTCAATAAATACTCAATAAAAACTTACTAAAACCTATCCAGTATTAAAAAGTTACGCACCTTCAACGAAACAAGTTCTTTAATTTCTTTAAAAAAATCATCATAAGATAGCATAAACTGTTGCTGTATTTGTAACAAACATTTTAATATGGGGGTAAGATGCATCTTTAAATTTTCAGAAATTCTTGTTTTTTTAGGTAATTCATTTGAATATATCAGACTTCCATTATCCAAATCTTGATAACACGAAATAGCATCATTAGACTTTTCTGATATCATTTTAAACCTAAAAGTAAAAAAAAAAAAACTTGAAAAAAAAAAAAGCATTATTAACCTAAATCTGAAATACAAAAAAGAATTAAAATAAAATAATATACTGTTCATTAACATTAAACTAATAATAATAAGTGATAAATTGTTCATTAAAATGAAGTGATTCTTGATAATGATAATGATAACGATTATTTAAAATGAACTGATCCAAATGGTTATGCCATTGATGACAGCATACTAAAAGAGGGAGCTTTGTTATTATACTTCCGAACAGATATACTTACTAATAACTCAAATACTTAACAAATTTATTCTAATTTTTTTTTTTCAATGATTTTCTATATACATAATTGTATTGGTGTTTTACTAATGCTATAAGTTTATCTGTCAGAAATAAATAAACAATTGAATAATCAGATTAGGGTTTGGGAAGTTTTCATTACAAATCTAATCTACTCACATTCAAAAATTAAAAAACTGTCAAAATTCAGTAAATCTTCAGTAGGAGACATATTGAGGCAATCCAAAAAGACTTAAACTATCAAAAAAAAAAAATAGGGAGCAGAAAGATAAAAGGTTTTGTTGACAAAAATAAAGTGAATTCGATCATCCTGTTAAATAATATAAAATAAAATACAAGAAATCCATGCTCATACTAAAAAAATCTCCTCAATTTTTTGAATGCAGTTGTTTCCTTGTCTAATAATCACTCAAGAGCAAGGGTTTGAAAGGCTTACACACCAAGAAAAAAAACTCCAAAGCAATGAATTGATAGAGAATTAAAAGCAAATCGCCGTGGAATAAAACTTGTCAAACCTTTTAACCGATAAATATAATGCATTATTGAGGACAATAAACCATATTTCAAACTTTCTATTAGTTGCCCGGCCATCAATATTATTATTATTCAAAAGTCAAATGTCAGCAACAAGTTAGAGTATATTCAGATTAAAACGTTTGCTCAGAAGATCCTCATGTGGCAAGCGATTTGCTCTTGTGAAGTTAAGAGTACTTCATTTATCACTTGAAAGACTTGGACTTTCGATTTGTACATCACTGTCTTTAAAAACATCTTTTGCCATTTGTCAACAAACACTGTATGGCAGTTATATTTTGGCTGGATATGACACCAATACATTACTAAAAGAAGACAATCTACAATCAAAATGCCATCAAAATCATTTTAAATGATGCAACTCCTCTTAACTGTCCTGAGCAGCACATTAATAAAAACTACTGAGCAAATGTAAATGGAATCTTGTTGAAAAGCAACAAATCAGCAAAAGATGACAAAAAATTAAAATGAAAAAGAAAAAATAGATAGCAGCATAAATTTCATTATAAAAAAAACTGAAATTAATTTGTTAAGTATTTCTTGAGTTATTGCTAAGTATATCTGGCTGGAAAGTACTGAACTTTAAATAACTGTTACATCTAATACCCTTCTGTTGCATATAAATAAATAAATATATATATATATATATATGTGTGTGTATATATATATATATATATATATAATATATATATATATATATATATATATATATATATATATATACACACACACATATATATATTAGGGTTCGGAAAACGTGTCTGCGCAGACAAAATATGCACATATCTGCGCAGACGTCAGCGTCGACGTCTGCACAGACACTTCAACAGAAACAAAAATTTTAAATTATCTGAATCAAATGTCTGTAATTATTTTTGCATAATTATCTACTTTTAACGAGTTTTTCATTACTTATCTGTTTCTTTTTGGTTCAAGCTACATATAATCAATCAATATAAACTTTTGTAAGTGTTTCTTACTTCAATTTAAAATGATTTAGAATCAAGAAATCGTGTATTTTCATCATTCAAAATGATTAAAATAAAAAACATCAAAATTTTGAACTATTTGACAAATCTTGATTGAAAGAAGCATTCTGGCACTTGTTTAGCAAGTAATAAAACTGTTCAATGGTCGAAGGAACGCCTTGCAGCGCATAAAAGATCAACATGTCCAAATGCCAGTGTCAAGGAAAAAAGATTGTTTTCTAAGCGTAATTATGAATCGTCACATCTAATCAATGATTCTCAGCAAACTTTTACAACCTTTCTACAAACCGTCTACGCCTGATTCACCGACCCAGCGTGTACATCCACTAATTAATGAAGAGCTCAAAAATGATATTGACACGAAGCTTGCTAATTTCTTTTACTGTACGGGTATATCATTTTGTTTAGTTGAATCAGAAGCCTTTAAGGATTTCTTTAATCCTAAAAGGCCTCTGAAAAAATACAGCAAAAAGTTTATATTTGATTGAAGATAAAACCGATATTATCACTGCTACAGTTGAATTTGCCAAAAAGATCAAACCTGAAATTGCTGACACTGCTGAGGATGAATTGATTGTTTTTATAGGAGAAATGGCTGCGCTGCCTGAGAGAAAAAAGGAAACAATATTAAAGATGAACGAGCGAAATTATTGGAACATTATCGGTCGAGATAAATATCTTGCTCTTTACAAAATTGCTAAGCCTACAGCAGAAAGAGCTTGGTCGACCTTTCGATTTATTCACCTGCGACTAAGAATTCGTCTTACAAATGAGAGAGTTGAAAAGCTGGTATTCTTGTATACCAATAGCATGCTGATAGACAAAAATGACAAGATTACATTCTTGAATTCTCAATGAAATTAAATGTCAATAAATCACCGAGTAGGTGCCAGCATTATATTTTTTTATTACTGAAAGAATCTTTGAAAACTCTTATTATTAATAATCATTGAATTTATAATAAAGTTAAAATATTACTTATAACATTTATCAAGTTTAAAACTTTTTTTGTTGATTTAAAAAAAATTGTCTGCAAAGCAGTATATTTTGTTGTCGCTGATGTCGGCGCAGACAAATTACACTGCCAGTGCATATCTGCGCAGACAGCCCGAACCCTTATATATATATATATATATATATATATATATATATATATATATATATATATATATATATATATATATATATTTATATATATATATATATATATATATATATATATATATATATATATATATATATATATATATATATATATATATATAAATTTCTATAAGAAATAATATATACTTTTGTTACTACTAATATAGACTTTAGACTTATATAGAACACACTGAATTAGCAAGAAAATATGTTTTGTTATTACTGTAACTTGACTATTTATACTTTAAAAGTAGAATGAAAAGAATCTAATAAAAAATAATATATGAATTACATTATATCTTTATTTTGCCGACCTCCTGCAGGTCGAAAAGGTAACTGTCCAGTTGCTAAGTGATAGAATGTAACTCCTAAACTCCACATATCCACCTTAAAAAATATATATTATAATATTATGATAAACATATATTATTGTCGGTATACAAGGGAAATGCACAAAAAGTCTAAAAACATTATGAGATAATGAACAAATAAGTTTTTGCGTAATAGTTAAAATAATAAGTTTTTGTGTATTAGTTGAAGTAAAAAATCTTAACAACTCATTAATAATTGATTTATTAAATTTGTGTGGTATATCAAACGATAGAGAATTTAATATAATAAATAGTGGTATAAATAACTCCATACTGCCAAAAACAGACTTAGTGCATTTCCCTTGTATACCGACATTATGATACTTGGAAATATTATTCCATTATTAGTTTATTATTTATGTTTAACTTAATTCTAAAAAAGTAAGCACAACAAAAAGTTTGATACTTAAAAAGTTCAACAAGTTTGACAAGTTTACTTAAACTAAATTATATATATATATATATATATATATATATATATATATATATATATATATATATATATATATATATATATATATATATATATATATATATATATATATATATATATATATATATATATATAAATTTATTTTATTTTAGTTAAAACAACTTTTTTTTATCTTTTAATTAAATTAAATTTATTTTATTTTAGTTAAACTTAAAATTGAATTGTAAATTGTGACTTCAATGTTTTAAATTTTTTCAACTCAAATTGTTCAAACTATGTTTTAGAGAAATGAAAAAATAATTTACTTGGCAGAATTTTAAATTTTATTTGTTTATAACCAAGAATAATCATCTTGATTAGTAGATGTAAATGATAACCTTTGGTTTTCTTTAAAAAAATAACAAACCAGTGATTTCATAAAAACAAATTTAAATTAAACAAACTAATAAGGCTGCAAGCAACCTTATTCAATTTAGGAGTGCAAGAAAGAACAGAAAGAGTTAAAGAGCAAGCAGTTGACAGAAGACTTGAAAAACTGTAAAATCTATGACTTTATTGTAAGTAAAAAAACAGATGGAAATTCTAAAGCATTGATGTTTGAGGAAATATAATAAATAAATAAAATATTTTTGAACATAAAAAAATGGTTACAGAAAAAGGATACATTTTTTGTTGATGGAAGAAAAGATAAATGCTCACTTGAGTTCCACCCATGGCAGAATTTGTAAAATAAAAAAAATGCAACCTCACAACAATGCAAGATATATTTTACGCAACGCAATAAAAAAAATGCAACCTCACAATAATGCAAGATATATTTTACACAACGCAATAAAAAAAATGCAACCTCACAACAATGGGACAGTGATTTAATCCTTAGAAGAGCCTACAATGAATACTGTTTAATTATAGCATATTTTTAGTCCTTGCCTAAAAAAACAAAAAACATCATTAAAAGAACCAGCAAAATGACACCAGTATTCCATACATAGACAAATAAAAGGTAGAGAATATAATCAGGAGTTAGTAAACACCATTTTCTTACTACTGATTTCATTCTCTTCAAACAGAAGATAGTCAAAATTAGCAGATAATAATTTTGCAAAAGATATGGTTTTCATGAAAGAGCAGTAGTAAAAAATAATCCAAGAAAAACTCACTAAATTTGTTAAAACCAATATAGAAATATCAGCAATATTACAATAAATATTAGCAGTAACAATAACTATTTATCAAAACCAGTGTAGTATGAGATTTTTACTCCCCAATAAAAATCTGATATAAAAATTAGTGCTGCGAAGTAAATAAAGCATATGAAATTTTTACTCCCACTATTTTATTTTTACTCCCAAGTTGTGATTAGTGAGATTACATATCAATAAACGCCAGATTTGCAGAAATATTTAGTTATTTAAAATATAAAACATATGCATAAGAAGTTTTAAATAAAGGCAATAGAGCCAAAAAAAACCATTTATAATTGATAATAATGAGTTATATCATTTAAACAAAGCTGCAAAGGTATTCTATTATTTCAAAATGTTTTAAATAATTTTGCAATTTTTATCCTGTTACAACTGAATCTAGAAACCGAAAAAACACAAAAATTTACAACTAGATAAACAATAAAAAACTATTTGATTCTCATTATACTGATGATTTAAAGTTGTTTTTTTTTGTTTTTTTTTAACATCTTCGCTTCCAACAAGGCCGCAAGCAAACACTAATTAGTGTTGGAAGTTACTGGAAGAGAAAAGATGAAGATTGTAGAGCAAGATAACGATTGACAGACGACTTAAAAGATTGCAAATTATATGAATCAAGAAAGCAAGATGAAGGAAGCGAATTCTAAAGAACTGATGTTCGAGGAAAAAAACTAGATAAATAAGAGTTTTTGGAGTTTTAGGAACAGTAACAGAAAAAGGATGAGACTTAATTGAATGACGAGTAACACGAGAATGAATTTTTGTAGATGGCACAAGAGACGCTAGCTCTTTAGAGCAGTGCTCATTTTAGTATTTGTAGAAAAGAGAAAGAGAAGCAACATTACAGCGATGTGACAGAGGTTAAAGGTTGGCTGCAAGAGTAGGTCCAACTATGTTTACAATGCTGATTTTAGAGATTTTAGAGAAAAATTTGGAGCAGCGATGAACAACAAAACATAATAAAGTTGGTTCATGAAGGAAACAATGTCTCTGAGGAGTCTTAAGCTTTATCTGGTCATACAGGTATTAATAACTCAACCTATCACATTCAAAGTAGATTTTTCTGGTATTGAATGATAAAAGATATTACAACTTATGTTTCCGAATGTGACCAATATTAAAAGTCAAAGAACAGAAAACTTCAGTCAAAACGATTGCTGCAAACTACTTTAATTCCTAAAGGCAATAAGAAGTAAGTAGGAATCGATTGAACACAATTATCTGAAGTTAACGAGTACAAATATCTGGTTGTATTATTCGACTACTTCAGTAAATGGGTTGAAACAGAAGCACTTATTAATAAAACTGCTAGAACTGTGGCTAGAACAAGTCTACTGGGTTTTTATCACTTTTGTTGCTTTAACAAAGTTCCTTGTATTGATAAAGATTGCAATTTAATTGACTTTAATGATGATAACACACTTAGCAATGATGATTTCTCTAACAAAAAAAAAAGTTTCAGATACCTTTCATGCAATGAATAAAATGAAGAACGAACTTTTTGACAAAACTTATAGCAATATTGAAAAATCTCAAAAAAGACAAAAACCTGATTACGACAAGAGAATTGCACCAAATAATGAAATTAGCATAAATAAAAAAAGTATTACAAAGAAATAGCAGAAATAGATAGAAAAGGCGATAAACTTTTAAAGCCTTGGACTGGACCATATATCATAACATCCATTTCAAGCAGAAATACTTTTAAAAATCTAAAGAGTCAAGTTTTTTTAAAAACCTGACAAAGTTATGTTTATATAATGAAAAAAATACCTAATGAGGAACAAGAAATCACATTTGATGAAATGAATATGCAAATTTCTAATGATAAGATTGGAAAATATGCAACTGTTGAAATGAGAACTTATATTTCTAAAAAATTTGGAATTGGTGTTTCAAAAAATATTTTTACTGCAAATATTAATCTACTTTCGTGTCCAAAACAATTACACAAAACCATAGGTTAAATGCAGTTGCAAGAGAAAAAGTTGTTAGACATATGTTTACCCATATTAATGACGAAGTGACTTTATATATGAATCAATCAATAATAACATATCTAAATGAAAGTGGTATGAGTGATAATACAACTTGGGCAACTGATGCAGAAATAATTGGATGTGCCTCTTTCACGGGTATTGGTACAAAAGTAAATAGAAAATATGGAGAGGAATTGAAATGACTGATTTACCCATGTAGTTTAACACTTACACAGCTTAGTGAACATGCTATATTCCTTGACAATTCAACTGCAAATCATTTTAATGTTGTACTGTTGTAAAATAAAAACATTTTAGCAGAAAAAATTTTATAAATCATCCTCTTTTCATAACTTTTAAATAATTTAAAAATATATTAGTAGAAATAACATTTTTATTTTAAGAACAAATGTTTTAAAAAACATAAAAATAAGAAAATAAGGTATGATATTATACCATCACACACACAGGAGAAGGAATACAAATATTTTTCTTTTTAAATATGGTGGCAATACTTTTCTATAGGCGTGATTCCACATTAGTAAAGCAAAAGATTCCCATATAACATTACATGTTTAATTTTTAGAAAATCTTTACCCTAGCTTATACACAGGGTAACCTACGATTATATGATTATTCCTAACATTAGTTAGGAAAGACTTTTTTTGCAGATGGGAATCATAAAATGAAAAAGTCAGAAAAAAAAAAGCTGATTTTAAGATTCAGCAGGTTTAAATTTTCTAAACAGCAAGTTTAAGGGCTATGCCATTGCTACAAGTATGATAACCTAGAAGTAAACAAAAATTTTTGGATAGTATTCCCGTTTATTTTTTAAACAAGTACAACTTTAAACCAAACAAATAACTGTATATATTATGTTCTTTAAGTTTAAAAAAAATGATTAGTAAAATTTATAATTTATCTCTTTTAATTAAAATTATATGACAAATTTTATTTCCTTTACAATTTTTATTCCTTTTTTTTTTTTTTTTTTTCTTTTTTGTTATTCACCTCCTAAAGCCGAGAACGCCACTACAGACGAGGAGGCTACTTAATAGTGGTTATAACCCTCTCTCAACTATAACTCCGAAACAAGAACCTTGATGAACAAGGCCGCTGCGCGGAGAAACAAGTTGAGCGCGGTACTACCAGGGAGGTGGTGGGGATTGAACTCAGAACCTCTCGCTTATAAAGCGAGTGTTTTACCACTACACCACTACCGCATTACCACTACACCACTACACCACTACCTTAAATGTAGAAACCAAATTATGTTAAAAAATTTTATGTTACTACTATATATAACATTTATTATATATAAATAAAAATTGAAAGTTTAACTTTTAATTATAGCGCAATTATAAATTAATAAATATCAATAAAATAATAAATAAAAATTATATATAAATTATAATTAAAACTTTAACTTTTAATTATAAACATTACGGTAAAAACATCTAACGATAGTAAAAATCTCATAAAGGGAGTAAAATTTCATATGCGTTTTTTAGTCCGCGGCACAAAGTTCATATCAGATTTATATTGGGAGATAAAAAAATCGCAGGAGTAAAAATCTCATTCTATACCGGAGTGTATAACTGTGTCATTAACCAAGCCATTAACCAAGACATCAACCAAGATGGTCATTAATCAAGCCACTTAAAAGGTAAAACTATTAGAAAGATCATTAATATAAGTAAAAAACAACACAGGGCTAAGAATGAAACTTTATATTCCAGGTTGTTACACCCCAGAAGTTACTGAAAATGAAGATAACTATTGTCCACTCAGAGTTAACTTTAATACTACAATTATAAAGGAATTAATTTTAAAAAACCTCATACAAAGAGATTTTATGGAAGACACCAGCATGATAGACTTGATCAAAAATCAAAATATTGATAAAAAAAAAGAACATAAAAGAATCATCAAAAGATTTAAACCTAGTTTCAAAAAAAATAGGAGAATTGACAGACAAGCATGTAACTATTAGAGTCTTTCAATCAAAAAAAAAAAAAATTATTTTTCTAAAAAAAATGAAATGACAACCTAATATCTTGATTTTTTGTTTTCCTACAAATGACATAGTAAGTTATTACTTTATATTTATTTTTTTAAATATAAAATATAGTGCCTTACAAATTTGGGTTAGGTTAAATTTTAGCTACTTGTATCAATGTCCTTTTTTACTATTTTTTAGTCCATTATCAAAATTAAAAGAAAAACTTAACAGTAAAAAGAAACAGCAAAAAAATCTTTAGCAATGTTTTATAAAGGTCTATAATTAAATTAATGTTAAACTAGGTTAGTTTTTAATTTTATTTTAGTAAGTTAAGGTGTGCTAATTTTCAACTTTATTTTAGCAAGTTCATTTCAGTAACAGATGCTTAAATATAAAACATTTTTAAATTTTATTCAAAAAGTTTTAATGATCAAGAATATTTTCATATTTTACTCATTATTTTATACTCATTTTTTTTGTTTTTTATTTTGTATTTCAGTTATTTGTTTTTCAGGTACATGTGTCTGGTAGTATCCAGCTCAACATTTTTGTGCAGTTGGCCTAGATATTGAAAGGTTGATGGAAAGATTGCAACAACAATTTAAAAAAAAAAGAGTAACCTCCCCTCAGTTTTGAGTAGGCAGATAAAAAAAAATCATAATATGAATATAAAAAGTTGCAAAACCGATATTTTGTATTTTTCTTTAAATAAATACAATAGCGGTTTCGGCTTTCTTTAATGAACAAAACAAAAAAATTGTGGTTTTAGCTTTCTTTAAAAAATTCGTGACTTTTTTATTTTTTTATTTTTTTTTTTTACTATTTTGTTTGTAGTGTAAACTAGCAACTATAATAAAAATAACATATGTTTATATTATATTATCATTAAACTTTAAAAACATTTTTTGAAAAATTTAGTAATATTATAATTATGTATTATTAATATATAATCAATATTTAATTGTTCATATTATTAAAAAATACCCTTGATGTAAATGTTTTGTTACTGGACCACTTCATAACAGCTTTTTCGTATATATCAGGATGCTATGATATAATTAAAAAGATAATTAAGACCCCAATAAAAATAACTAAATATATATTTATTGAGCCATAATATATAACAATGACTGTATTTAACTAAAAACTATTTTTAAAACTTTACACAAAAAATAATAATCATACTCGATCAATTTAAAATTTTTTGAAAAACAAACCAAATACTCTTCAGTTCCATACACAGATACAAACTGTTCAGCTTCACCAAGTTCTCGAGCCGCTCCAAAATCTGTGATCTTATAAATGTATCTATAAAAATAAAAAATAAAATGATACATAAAGTAAATAAAAAATTTCTGAGATGCCGCTACCTCATACTTATAAATGTTCCTAGTATTTACCCTCCAGAACCTTTATCTGCACGCAATATATTCCCTGGTTTTACATCACGATGAACAACATTTGAATTTTTAAGATACTCCATACCTGCACCTAAAAACAAAACAAATTTGTTGTTTTGCACAATTATTAAATATTTTGAGTTATTTTATCTTACTTTTAATATATATTTTTTAATATATTACATAATATATTAAAATATAAATTTTTCAAGAAGGTGGACTTAATATTTTTTAAATACTGCCAAGCTTATAACATATTTTTGTTTAAAACAATTTTTTTTCCCATTATTTTGTTAGCTAATCTGTCAAACAAAATTTGGAAAATGTCACTTACAAAAAACTTGCTTATTTTTTAAGCCTATGAAAATTTAATTATCAAAAAACAATTAGACATAGTATAGACATTAGTGTGTCCCAAAGAAAAATATTTGGGGTTCTTATTTCCTGGTTATAATAAATAACTTTACCAAATTCAAGGGTTTAAAGATCCTTAGAAGTGTTAGGTGTAAAAACTGAAAACCAAATCAAAAGTTGGTCAAACTATAAACCAAGTAATACTAATAATGATGTTTGTTTATGAGTTCATAAATGCTTTTGATCAAAACTGAAAACATTTTTGAAACAAATCTTGGTTATCGCTATCAATTTGTACATATAACATTTTTTAGATTTTTTAATGGTTTTCCACATAAATGATACATTACATTTTCCACATAAATGATACCTCTTTCTTATTTATTTAATTCGAATTTATAAATAAGAACTTTTTTTTTTTAATACTTTTATATAATACATTAATTAAATTAATATAACAATAAAGTTTATGTTTTTTAGATATATAAATAAATAGTAATATGGAAATAAACAATAAACAATGCAGAAGAACAAGCAGTAGAAAATGAAAAATTGAAGGTATGGAAAAAAAATTAACAATGTGGTAGAAAACCCAAGGAGACCATTGTATCTTTTGAACAGATCCATTTTATAGCTTCCCAAATACCAGTTGCCTACATATGGTGACATTTTAAGAAGATATTGCCATATTATTTTCCCAAAGCAATAAAGGTATATGTCAACAAAATCAAATATTAGTTGCTCCATGGAGAAAGGAATGTATCAGTTAAAATGTCAACTCCCTGGTACAAAATGTGAGACAGATATTAAAGATTGTCTTGTCAAAGAAGTAGTAAATATCTGGTGCAGAGCAGGTTTCCCAAATGACTTGATTAAAAGTTGGACCATTACAGATAAGATTATAATGGTCAACAAAAAATGGAGAAAACAAATAGATCTTAAAAAGTAAGATTTTCTCAATATATTTACAATAAACTACTTTTTTTTATTTTAACTGTCAACCTCTTTTAAATTTGTAAATGTGTAAATTGTGTCTTTTTTTTCATATTAGATTGAACTTCTCATCAAAAGAAAATCCTTTAATTCTCAAAACCAACTATAACTTTAAAACCAACTATAAAAAAACTTCAAATGAACTTTTTGACATAGGCTGGAAAAATATTGTAATGAAAATTAAAGCTGATTGCAACAGATCACCTGATGCCATTAAAGAGGACATTGAATTCTTAACTGACTAAAAGTCAACTAGAAAAATGTATATAACTGAGGATATTGATATGATTTACTGAAAGAGAATTGAACATAGGAATGAGTTTGACAAAAAAACTTGAAATATTCATAGAGGATAAAAATTTATTTGAAAATCATAGTCTCTGATTCTGATACAAAATCAATAGATTTTAAATTAAATTCATCTAATGATTCATTTTTCAATCTAGTGAAAATAATAAAAATTTCTCCGTTAACAGAAAAACAAAAATCCGATGAGCTACATTATCAGGGAACGGATTAATAAAAGCGACAATTGAAGTTACTACAAAATTTCATTATGGTGTAAAGGGTTATACGGCAATTCTTTCCTCAATTCTAAAGCATGCAGGATATAATTTGGAAGATATTGTTTAGTCAAAATCTGGAACTGGCAGAAAAAGATTTCATATTATCAAAAACAAAGGGAAAGAAATTAGAAATAGTTATAAAAATGTTTTAAACGGTAAGAAACTCTTGCTTCACTTTGATAGTAAATTGCATAATGAATGGGATCTTAAAAATAACATAACTTTTAAAATGGAAAGGATTGCAGTAAATGTGACGGCTCCTGAGGATGATAATAATAGTGATATTCTGAAAGGAGTGTTCTAATCAACCCCCTGCTTGTCATAAAGCTAGATTTATAGCAAATATAAAATTATACAAAATTATTGATGCTTAACTAACTCATAAAAAATTGAAATTTATGCCAGTGGAGGAGATAGAAGATGTCAACAAAATTGCACCTTTTGTAGCAATATTTTACATTCCTTGGTTTCTGAAGTCATCATAATTCAGACACAATCTAATGATTTTAAAGCTATTAAAGCAACCCAAAACATAGAGGAAGAAGACGAAATGCTAGAAAAAAGTCTGAAAATTCTCTTCTTAGTCATATATGGTACTTGGCTGAAGATGTTGTTATTGTATCACTAGCAGATCCAAGTGTAACTAATGAAGAGAAACACCTAATGATACAAAAACTCATTATTTCTCCCTTTATATTTCAAAATAACAAATATCCCGAGGATATTTGTTATTTTGAAATAAATAAACCAGAGATTAGAGATGAGAATTATTAACAAGAACACTTATTTGCACAAGTTTGTTGTGAAAAACAGTTGGTATATTTTTTTCATACTCAATCTTAATATACAAGATATATTATGTTGGATTTCTGATGGAAAATTTGTAGATCTTCATCCCAGCTTCAAGTTTTTTAAAAATTTTGTTTCAAATATTCAGTACACAAATGACTGCTCTGAAAGAAAAATTTGTCTAGTGCAAGATTTCTTGGCAAACAGTCATAATGAAAATCAGAGAAAAAACATCATGGTGGTTGCTAAAGAGAATATAAAAATTATGGATAAAAGAATGAAAAAGAGTGATTTGAACAATATAACAAAGCACAAAGTATTTTGAATTAAATGTAATTTTTTTTTTCCATTTTAATCAAACAAAAAATATTTTGAACCAAAATAAACTGTTTTTTCTTTGCATCGTTTTGTTGTTTTAATATTAGACATTTTGAAGAATAATGGAAATTAACACATAACACTTCCTGAAGGTTTAAAGACCTAAAATTTTGCATTTTTCTTTTATTGAAGGTATACAACCAGGATATGTTTTAAACCTTTAGGTTATGTGAAAAAGATATATTTTTGGGACACCCTAATAGACATGAATATAAAACAAAATTTTTGGTATTACTTTTCTTTAGGCCAAACTGTCAACCATTAAGGATTTTACACCAAAAATATCTTCATTTGTAATTTTAATTGTACATAATGCAACTAATATAAAATGAGGTGAACCATAAAATAAGGTTATCAAAATTTATAGACTGAGACATATTTCTCCATCCCTAATTATTATTAACCATGAAAATTGTAAACTACAATAATATAAGTTTTGAAAAATTATTTGCTTTGTAAATGTGTTCTATTTATCTATAATCACTTTGGCATTCTAAATATAGTTGTAAAAGAACATCTTTGAAATGATGTGAATAATAAATTTATAACATATGTAAAAAGATGTTTTTTTACAACAAAATAATAACATTATTTTAAAGAAAAGCTTTCACTTTAGATAAACTTTTATAAAATGTTGTTAATAAACTTTATCTATCAGTGCTGCCTATGCTGAGAGATTTCCACAATATGAAATTTTTACGTGTGAAAGATTAGTTAGTTTATTAGTAATTTAAGTTCAAGATGTATGCGTATATAAAATATGTATTCAATATGTATGCCTATTAAAATAAAAAGTAAATTAAATGTCATCGAATTCTACAAACTCATTGATGACAAATATGCAGTCAATAAATTTTTGATTGAATGAAATAGCAAAAGACTGGAGAAAGTTAAAAATGATAATAAAATAAATTATATTTATGGACAAACTTGATAAGTTATTTGACTTAAAAAAATGTAAGTGCAAAATCTTATGCTAAAAGTGGATGTGATTATTTCTTTAAAACCAATGTAATTTTTATATGTTTTAAAGTAGCGAAGATCCTTATTCAAAAGCCATTTTTCATACTCAAAGAAATTAAAATGGTAATAAAAGTACTTGACAAATTGCATTAGTTGTTGTATCAGAGACAAATCCAATAATGACATGCTTAACTTTGACTTATGCATCAATTCACCTATTTGTCAAGAGATCAGGTTTGAATCTTCTGACCATTCTTTCATGTGCTTATGCTTCACTCTTGCACTGCACCTCATCACTTGATCACTTTTCTCTTTGTTCTTTATCATTCTCACTTTATTTCCCTATTCTTAAGACTGCACTCTTTTGGATGTAATTTCTAATCATATTGACCATGATCTGCCAATATTGTTGTTATTGGCAATTGAAACACTAATCACACTGAAGGATTTTTGGGTCTAACACCATTGACCCTGCTGAAACTAAAACTTTTAAATTCTGTATTATTCAACCTCTTACTCAGTTAACTCATTTTTTAAACAACCCTAATCACTTCCTCTTTTTGTGTCTTGTCTCTGAGCTTAGCTTGTGTTCATTTTTTTCTTGTACTTTTTCAGGTGGTTTTGACCATGCAACAATCTCTATAAACCTTTTGTCTAATACTTCTTCTTCAGACTTACCCTATCATCGCACTAATTACTACTACCCCAGAGCTTACTGGGATTCTTTTGATGATTTTTTCTGTGACAATCCTTGGACTGATATTTTTCTCTCCACTGAAAAAAGCTACTCCTATATAACCTCCTGTATTCAAGCAGGTTTGAAAGCTTTTATTGCTTTATTCTTTTTAATTCAAACATTCCATCTTTAAATCATAGGTCTGATCTATAGTGTATATATAGTGTAGGGTAACCTGGGGTAAAGTGAACTAGGGGTAAAGTGAACTATTTTTAAAATTTTTAAACTAAAAAGTTATCATGTTTAAAAAACATTTTGTTAAGTAATTTAGCATTATTTTTGCTTAATACAACATTTTAAAATATTAAAAAAAAAATTAAAGTATAGCCTTTGTTTTGATGTAATAGCCATTTTAAAAAGCATGTTTGGAGGAAGTTTTAAAATTACGATCTCAAACTTTGCGATAGGTTTTAGTAAATTCATGATTTGTTGTTATTAATGTGAATATCAGTTAAATAATTTATATACATTTTAAAGATAATATAATGCTGCTTAAAAAAAGTTGTAGTTTTTATCCTAATATAAAAAAGCTAAGCCTTTAGTTTGTAAATCAATTTAGTTCACTTTACCCCTTGTTTTTCTGCCTATTGGGGGTAAAGTGAACTAGTCTTTTTGTTATGTTTTTTCATCAAATATTTTTAGTAGAACTGAATATATACATCGTAATTACATAACTAAATTGTTTACTCTTAAACTAAGTCTTTTTTTTTTAAATATTCTTAAAATTATTTTTAGAAATATAATATAATGAAATAATGCCAAGAAACTATATTAAGAAAAAAAAATCTCAAAGAAAAACATATGCACCTAATTTGTTGCAAAATGTTATTTCGAAAGTTAAAAATAAAGAAATGTCTTTGTATGCTGCATCAAAAGAATATGGTGTTCCAAGAAGTACAATTGCAAGACATCTTCTAGGCATAATGCTCAAAAGTTGGTAAAGGGCGACCAAACCGATTATCTGCTGATGCTGAAAAAGATCTTGTTTCACTTTTATCTGCATTTTCTGATTTTGGATTTGGATTAGATAAAAAACAATTTATGAAACTTGTTCAAACGTATATTGAAATAAACGGATTTCAGAAAAAATTTGTGAATGAACACCATTCACAAATTTTTTCTGAAATCCGTTTATTTAAACTAAAAAGTAATTTAGCATTTTTTTTGCTTAATACAACATTTTAAAATTTAGAAAAAAAAAAATTAAAATATAGCCTTTGTTTTCATCAGTGGTTTTGTAATTTTTTAAATCGTTGGCAGAAAGAAATATCTAAAAGAACTCCAGAGCTTTTGACATTAACAAGAGCCTTAGCTTGTAACAAAACTAATTGATGTAACAAAACTAATTGATGCTTGATTTTCATTACTGAAAGCCACATTGGAAAAATGTGACATTATGAATAGATCTGCCCAAAGACTAAACTGCGATGAAAGTGGGTTTTGCACTAACCCAATAAATAAAAAAATTATTTGCAAAAGAAGTATTAAAAACCCTGTAACTATTGCTCCTGGATTAGAAAAAGAGCAGTTTACTGTACTAGCAACAATATCAGCTGCAGGAAGAAATTTTCCTCCATTTATTTTATTTGCTGGTAAGAATTTGTATTAAGAGTGGATGACTGGTGGACCAAAGGGTTCCTTATATGGGGTGACAAAAAATGGTTGGATGGAAACAGAAGTTTTAAATGAATATTTTAACCATCTTGTTTTATGGTTGAAAGACACACCCAAGCCTGTTTTGCTTATCTTTGATGGCCACATGAGTCATATTTCTTTAGAAACTGTTAAAAAAGCTGTTGAAAATCATATAACTATTTTGTGTTTGTCAGCACACTGTTCGCATTTGCTTCAGCCACTTAATGAGGAGTCTTTCACCAAATTAAACATGTATGTCGTAAAATTCTTGCCAATTGGTATACCGAGTCAAGGCTGAAGGTGGTTGGGAAATCTGTTTTTCCATCTTTATTAAAAAACTTTATGATACCTCTTTTAAGCCAGCTCATTTAGTACAATCGTTTGCCAAAACTGGAATTTTTCCCTTTGATCCATCTGCTATAGCATCTGACAAGTTAAATCCTTCTGAAATCTATGAACACCCTTTTTCTCAGAAAACAAATAATTATAATAATAACGTCCCTCAAAACATCATTTTAGACACCAATGTCAATGATCAGAACAATACTTGTGAAATTTTTTTTATTGAATCAACAAATAAATACAATTCACAAAAAACTATAATATCAGTAGGAAAAAACTTAAACAAAAAAATAAATCAATTATCAATATCAAACGTAGATTGTTTTACTGGAAATAAAATCATAAGAGAATTAGTGAAAGAACAGTTAATGGCCACACGTTCATACAACAAACGACCTACAAAAAAAATAAAAAGACGTTATGGAGGTAAGTGTCTTACATTAGAAGATGCATTTAAAAGATTAAACGATGAAGAAAATGAATGCTTTAAAAGAAAGATCAAGCAGCAAGGCAAAATACAAAATAAAAAAACTAATTTATCAGAAATAACAAACACAAAAGAGTTAAAGATGAAGTAGTTCACTTTACCCCAATGTGGGGGTAAAGTGAACTAGTGGACATGTTTTTTTTGAATATATATTTAATATTGTAATAATAATTTTTAATCTTAGTATGTTGTTTTATATTGTACCTAATACTTTAAATGGTATAAATTTTGAAAACTGCAAAATGTTTTGGCTTTTATTTTGAAAATATTTCCTTTAAATATCAAAAACAGTTCACTTTACCCCAGTTTACCTTATATATAATGTAAAGTAAAATATAAAAATAGTAGACCTACAAACATCTTGGATAATGTTTATCAATGTTGTATCATCTACTCCAAACATATTTTCAGGTTCCTCAATTATTTCATAGAGACTTGAACCACATAATTCCATAATTAACACTGTCGCTTTAGAGCCAATCTACAATATTTACAAATGATTTGAAGGATAAATACATAATAATAGAATAGATCTTCTGTACACAAAAGAAATATATAAACATACACATAAATGTATATAATAACTATATAAATGTAAATAATAAATATAAAAACATTCACATAAATGCACATACTGCAATTAATAACAGTTAGTTACAAAAAACAAAAATAAACAAAAAAAACTATTTTATACAATTCTAAAAAATGAATGAAAATGTCATGCAGTTTTCATAACATATTTAGGGGGGAAGAAAAAAATAAAAACTCTCTTAGATGTGTAGGTTTATACGGACATCTACAAAGTGCTAAGGGACTCCAAAGCTCAATTGGAATGAAAATGAACTACTTACAGAATCAGTTATTTTGTTTGACAGACAAAAGAGACATGACAATTGATAAGAGACAAGTGACAAAGATAAAACTTACCTCTCTTGTGAGCTAAGCTTTAGTGTTGAAACAGTATTTTCTTAGTTTAATTTTTTATTTTAGTTTTCAAATTTATTCATTCTAGGTATAAAGTAAGATGAAAAGTTTTGTTCTTTTGTTTTGTTCTTGTGTAATTAAGCAGTAGCTATGTAGTTATGCAACAATATGGCTGAGCATGATGCAGATAAAAATATCTTACTATTTGATTTTAATTGTAATGGTTTATTTTAATAAAAATCGTGAGCTGATGGATTAGTTTTGTATCGCCATTGTAATGATCGAAAAGATTTACAAAATTGAAAAATCAAAAGTATTAACAGATGATTATAAAGATTATAACACTAACATTACGGTAGATGATAAAAATCAGATGTTATCTTCCAACTAATTAATGATAAAGATAATTACAATATTTTTCAAAATAAAAAATACCATAAAAAAAACCTCATCAATTTAAAAATCTATTAGAAGTCAAGTTCCATAGAAAAAATTTTTTTTTTTTTTTTGAAATCTGAAAAAAAATTTTTTGTTATCTAAATAAATGAAATCTAATCTGACATCCCATTTTTTGTGTGCAATATGTACACAGAAACCTAAGCAGATGAAAGGTGAAAATGCCAGAAAAACTTGTTTCAAATTTTCCAATCAAAAATAAAACTTTTAGAATAAAACCAATACAAAGACTAGCAAGAGTTGGTTTAACTAATTCCTCTCTCCCATCACACATTCTATTACCATGTCAAGAAACAACACAACATTTAAAATTAATATGTGGACCATAGCAATGAAAGTAGTGTTTTTTAAGGAAAATTATTTTATTAATATTTATTATGTTTTTCTTTGTTAGGCAGTGCATATTCTATATAGACATATAAGGTTATTTAATATAAACCACTTTATTTGTTTCCTCAGTTAACTTTTTTGTACCAAATGTTTTTCTTAAAAGCAAATTGATACATATTGGGTATTACTATTAAAATAGTTAATTATTTTTATTTTTAATAAAAATAATTAACTATTTAATAAAAATTTTCAATTAATTATTTTTTTAAATTATACTCTTGAGCATATTATTAGATTTAATAAAAGTAATAAAAACAAAATACTCCATTTGGTGTAGCAGAACTGTTTAAAGTTTTATTGATTATATAAATCAATGAAACTTTAAACAGACACCTTGAAAAAAACACTCGTAACCCTTAGCTTCTCTCTCTCTCATCCTCTCCTCCTTTATATATGTTATACTAATTAATTTTTAAATAATAAACAAGTAGATATAAATGAGTTTTAAAAAAAGAGAACCTAATTTACCTCCTGTTCTAACCCCATCAATTTAATAATATTAGGATGTGATAATTTTTGAAGCAATTCAATTTCTCGAATCCGCACTTCATATGGTCTTCTGTCAGCTTGTGAGTTAAATACTTTTGCAGCACATGGAGCACCTGTTTTCTAATATAATGATAATAAAAATTAACAAACAATTTATACAAATAATCAAACATTCTAGAAAAAAAATTTTACTTTATTTTATGCTACTTATAGTAAGAAGGAAAAAAAATTTTATGATTTGTGGTTTTAATAATGTTTTTATTTTGGTCTAAATAAAGAAGCATTCTATAATAATCTTTGTGGAATGTAATGAGGCGTCACAATATCAGTGGGGTGTAATACAGTATTACATTTTAACAAACCACAGTCTAACACAGTGATACCAAATAATTTTCAAATTATTTCTAACAATAAAAGGTATTAAACTGTTACAATTTCTTTCAGTGACTATCAAGAAAGATACATAGATAGTTGCAACTATCTAGTCAATGCAATGAAAAAACAATTGCAATTGTTGCAATCGATGCAATTGGGATTACAACTATGTAAAGATAATTTTTACAAAAACTTAATTATGAATTTCTTGTTAATATTTAGCATTTTAATGTTCTTTTATTTGAATACAATTATTGGTATAAAGGTATATTTTTTTACTTAAAAAATGTAATAACTTTTAAGCACTAAAATGGTTAAACAACACTAAAAATTAAGTTATTCTTTGTTAAGTGCAAAATTTTTGTGCAAAATGTTCAGAATGTTGAATCAAATTTTGTCTCTCACTTAGTTAACCACAAATTGCATATACAAAAATTAACAGACGTAAAGTAAAAACTTGTTTAAATCATAAGAAAAGGAGATTTAGCCAGAGAATTGTCAACTTTAGAATTCAATTCAATTATTACTTTAAAAAAATTTGTAGAGCATACAAAAAAAAAAAGAAAGTATATAGTGAAAAGAATAAAATAATTAAATTTGTATATTGGGTATAAAACAATTTCAGAACAAAAATATTACACTTTTATATAAAAAATGTTTGACATTGATTGGCATCAATCCTGGTGAAGCAAACGGAAAAAGTAATACGAAAAAAAATGGAAGTATTATCATGAGTCTGTTCACAAGAAATAATGCCATTGGTCATCTTAGAAAAAGAAACAATAAACCACAAAAGTTATATCAAAAACTTGGCCAATAGCTCAAAAATATGGCAACCAAGTGTTCAGTGACAACTGGATACTTCAGCAAGATAGTGCAACAATTTATATCTTAGTCGTGTAATATATATAGTGCAACTGCTCACAAACATTACTTTATTTGACTACTTTAAAATTTTAAATAAATTTTCAGTCAATTAAAAGAAACATTCAAAGCTCACTCTCTCTCTGTCTCTCTCTCTCTCTCTCTCTCTCTCTCTCTCTCTCTCTCTCTCTCTCTATATATATATATATATATATATATATATATATATATATATATATATATATATATATATATATATATATATATATATATATATATATATATATATATATATATATATACATATATATATATATATAAAGTCCTGGTCGAAATTATAGCACAACCTCTTAAAATAAGATTGTCATATCAAACTTTTGTACGCATTAATCATATTGTTGAGAGGTATTTTTGAAATGCTTTTACATTAGTCATTTAAAATTTACACATAAAATTAAAAATTTTGTTTATTATTTATCTTAGAAATAAACAATTTAACAAACATTTACAAAAAATGTTGGTCAAATTTATAGCACACTCACATTCATACATAACTTTGACAGTGTGTATGATTAAATACATTGACGCATTGTTGTGTATGATATTTTATTTATCTACTAGCGTCATAGTTAATTATTTAAAATAGCAAATCTTATAAAATTCTAATGTTTATTCAGTAATTTTAAAATTAAAACATAATTTATGCAATAGGTTGCAAAGCAGTGAGCCCTGAGCGGCGACAACTTGTAAAAAACTTACTTCAACAGCAATTTAATATTGCTGATATTGGTAAACATGCTACAACCTCCAGAAAATTTGCCTACAATATTGCTGATAAAATTAAATTAAATTTACCAATGAAAAATCAACCAGTTCAAGGACATCATAGATGCACTAATTCTACAGACCGCTGTTTAACTCCATAGCAAGTTTTCTATTTGAACCGCACTGATTCAAGTAGAAAAACTGCTTTGGAGTTGAATGCTGCAAAAGAAAAAACCATTAGTGCAAATATAGTTTGACGTTACACACAGAAACAACATTATTGAAATAAGACTCTTTATTAAAAAAAAAGACACTTGTTGTAAAAACTATGTTGATTGGACTCGAAATCAATGGCATTATGTAATATTTAGAGACGAATTACATTTTGAAGTCATAAATAGAAAGAATTGTAAGTTTGTACGTTATCATTCTAATGAAAAAGATTTACCATTTAATTTCACAATAAGAGCACAAGGTGGTGGTGGAACTATTTCTGTATGGGGATGTTTTTCTGAAAATGGAATAGGTTTATTGAAGTTTTACAAAAGTTGTTTGAACGCCTTTCATTATTTAGAAGTTATTGCTGAAAATCTCTAGGGAATGATTTACCTGGACACTCTTTTTGATTTTGAGGCTAAAGATAGTTATTTTATGCAAGACAATGCACTGTGATACAAAGCAAAAAAAACTCTGGAATGGCTTGCAATAAAAAATATTCAGCTCTTAGAATGGCCACTCACTTCAATAAATGCAAATCTGATCGAAAATCTTTGGTCAATTATTGACCAAAAACACTAATGACTTAAACTTAATTATTGACCAAAAATACTAATGACATTTGGGGCAAGATTTCAATTGATTTTTGTATTAAATTGGTTAATTCTGTTCCAGATCATATTTCTCTAATTTTTAAAGCTAAAGGATCCAACATTTCTTTATCTAAAATTAGTACTATGTGCTATAACTTTGACCAGCTTATTTTTCTGTATTATTCCTAGGTGAACTTTAAAACACGTTAATTTTAAATGTATTTTCAATTTTCATTCATTTTTGTAAAAAGTAAAATGTTATTCTTCAAACAAAAAAATAATTATAACTTTTCACTCAACCCTCCATTAAATTTTTATCATTAAATTTTTAATTTAGATTTTTGCTATAATTTTGACTAGTACTTATATATATATATATATATATATATTTTTATATATATATATATATATATATATATATATATATATATATATATATATATATATATATATATATATATATA